TTCGGACGCAACTGTAGACTCCATGCAATTGTTTAGGCTAGATAATACTCAATACCAGGACCAAACTCAGAACCCCCTGCTTCATAGTCCCAAAGACACTATTGGAATGAGATGATGTAGTATTTATTTACAAAATCTATACTACCGACTCGACCGGAGTGATACCACCACGGCCTCACAGAAAACCGACTGGAGCAACGCTTGCGTTGTGTTTCGTCGTGTGAGTGAAGTTACCGGAGGCCCAATTAATCCCCCTTCCCGAATCTACCCAACCCCCGAATCCCCAACAATCCTCAAACTTCTAATCGCTAAAAGGCCGGTAACACAAGTGTGTTTACAAGTGTAACGCCTCCGGTGTTCCAGGTGTCCATGGGCGACGCCAATTGCTTACCATCAGGTGATCCGTCTCGTTTACCAGCTTATGCCATAAAAAAACTAAGACGAAATCAAGATCTAGTATAGAGTAATAAAATCCTAAAGAGGACCTATCTCTTAAATGAAATGTACATTACGCTTTCATGGTTCCATTTTTACAATGTAAAGACCTCAGAGCTATTTGCCGACACTCCATCGTAAAGATAATGGTCACATGTCCAAAGTGACTATAAACTGGAACATAGTATTTTAGTGTTCATCGGCGGTTAAACTCATGTATGTAACTTTACTGCAAATGATGAGACAGCAATGAACATTGCTTTTGCGTTGTGGTCGCTAAATGTGCGATTTTTGTTTTTAAGATTTTTGTAGTGAATGTTGTTTGTGTTTGATCAGATATTGAGATATTTTTGATGTTTTGGTTTAATGGATAAAAAATAATAAAAGTGTTCAGCCATCTTGCAGCTTTTTACTTATTCTCAGCTACCTACTTCAGTTTAGTGTAGTAAATAAGTTAAATTATCCATAAAAAAGTAAATCTTAATACATAATTTACCCCATGTCAAAATCGAACCCAACCTATCATTGGAATAACATAACATCATCACGCTTTTTATCACCGAAAGGGTAGGCAAAGGTGCACATTGCCTACGGCTATAAATGCCACTGTACAATGTAACACCCACTTTTTACTATTCATGTCATGAGTTCCATGTAATTAATAGGGGTCGTGCTTATTACCATATACCGGGCACAACTTCGGATTCCGTGCTACTACTGAGAATTTTTTTAAAACCCGATTTTTTTTTGCGCGGACCGTGAATTACATCTGAGACCTTTTGCACGGCAGTTGCGCTTGCAACCACTCGGCCAACGAGACAGTCCTATCATAGTAATTACCAATTATTTAAAAGATTAATAACTTCCTTTTTGTGGAAACACCTTCAATAATCATCTATCCTTTTGCTGCTAGAAAGACTACCTGGGTTCCCTACCTCACTACAACCACCCTTGTTGTCAACACCACCATCAGATCATACATAATATAACATAACATCACGCCTTTTATCCCCGAAGGGATAGGCAGAGGTGTACATTATGCCACTGTACAATGTAACACCCACTTTTCACTATTTATGTTATGAGTCCCATGTAATAGGGGGTGAGCCTATTGCCATATACCGGGCCCAATTCCAGACTTCGTGCTACTACTGAATCATCACCTATCATTACCACTACCATCAGATCATCACACTTATAAAGGGTTACCGAGTCTTCTGCATATGCTACACATAATTTAAACTTTTGAACCAATCTTCATGCATAAAGCAAGTTACTTTGTCTACAAAGTATCTACCTAATAATATTCAAAACTGGGATTAATTAATTCGTTAATCTGAATTTCAAATTTTAATGGGGATTTGCAAACAGCGTACAGCTTAACCAGCGAATGTAAAAGCTCGAAGTTGGGGGTAAAATTTTCCCTGCACACAAGCTAAGCTTATGCTTTAAATAATACTCAATAATGGACGTTGTGAAGGTTAATTAACTAAAATCGCGCCGCGATCGCGCACTGCTCATGAGGAAGACCCGCTCTGTTGTTCGAAACTAGTAGAGCTTTTCTCAGTATATTCACGTGAGTAACCCGCGATTTTAGTTAATTTAGTATGTCTCACGATAGTTATTATAAAAACGTTGTGAAGGTTATTTAAAATCTACTTTATAGACAAAATAGATTTACCTACTTTAAAGTCCAAAACAGCTACTTAGTTAAATACTATGCTTGCTATTTAGTCCACATTTCGAAATAAGCACACCTCTAGATTTCGACTCCTAGAAGCCGATACAGTGAAATCCCAGGTCCCAAGTACAACTGTACAACTGTCGTGGACTTATAAAAGGAGAGGAGAAGAAAGAAAAATGTCCACTTCCCTGAATGTTCTTTAATACTGAAGACAAAATGACTTAAGCCTTTAACGGTACAACTACACTGCACAACTTGAAGAAGCCCACTACTTTTTGTATTTAGTCTGTTTTGGAAAGGTCAAACAGGGTTTTTCACCTGATTGTAAGCAATCGGCGTTGCCCATGGACACCCGGAACACCAGAGGCGTTACTTGTGCGTCGTGCGTTTAGGCGCTTTTGCCATACCTATTACTGGAAGCAAATATAACAGCTCACACATAGGACCCACTTAGATTTTAGTCAAATTTCCGTGGTGCGTGGCGACTGGGCTTCACCCAGTTGTACAGTCTCTTTTCTTTGTGCCTTTAGGCTTAATTCACTCTGTCTCCTGCAGTAATTCACCGAGGGAAGTGGAAACTATCGTTTTTTTCTTGTCCTCTTATAATATCTTCTGATTAACTTCGTTGCGGGAACCAAGACAGTTATTCATATCCCTGGGACGCGCCGGACTTCAGTGTTCCGGTGTTTTCATGGTTGTATCTACTGTAGATCCTGGCTTACAGGAGTTGCAGCGGTTTTGGGAGGTTGTGGCGGGCTTGTCCCATAAAAAAAGTGCGTTACCCGCCTTTTGGGGGTTACTGTAATAAACCTCGCTGTTCTAAGAGCCCCTCAGTCAAATAACAATAGTTCCTGTCCTCTATCAGTAAGACGAACGGAATGACCTAACGTGGCAACATTGTACTGTGGTACATGTAAGTAAACGATTCGAACTAATGCTTACATGGACATTAAGTGTAATGGCAGGAAATGCAGTACCTGGCAATAAATATTACATATCTGGTCATGACTATGAGCCACAAAGACAAGTCAACACGCTCCTAGATTCATAAAAAGATTGATTGATTGATGAATAATTGTATTGTGAACCTGATTGAAAAAAAGTATTACTGGGTTTTTAAATATTCTCAGTAGTAGCACGGAGTCTGGAATTGTGCCCGGTATATGGCAATAGGCTCACCCCCTATTACATGGGACTCATAACATAAATAGTGAAAAGTGGGTGTTACATTGTACAGTGGTTTAATGTGCACCTCTGCCTACCCCTTCGGGGATAAAAGGCGTGATGATGATGTTATGTTGAACCTGATTGAAAAACTGACTTCAAAAACCAAAAAATAAACTGTTATTCATTGTACTGCCTACCCCTGATGGTTTAGTACTCGATGCCACAAGCCCGTAACATACTCGATAAACTATTCTTCTAAACACACAAGTGAAGCCGCTGGCGAAAATCTAGTAACATAACATCACGCCTTTTATCCCCGAAGGGGTAGGCAGAGGTGTACATCATACCACTGTACCTACAATGTAAAACCCACTTTTCACTATTTATGTTATGAGTCCCATGTAATAGGGGGTGAGCCGAAAATCTTAGCTGTTGCCCGCGACTTCGTCCGCGTACGATATGAAATTTAGGACATAACATTTTTTATGATTCCTTTTTCCAATATAACAGTAGCCTATGTTACTCCTTAGTACATTACCTACCTGCCAATAAAAGTCCCGTCAAAATTGTTTCTGTCATTCTAGAGATTAACCAATACAAACCGACAGACAGAGAGACAGAAGTTCTAAAAAATGTCACTTTGGTATGTGTATTGTATGTACATACATTCATGTGCATGTAGTAAAATTCAGTTATTTTAATACTACTGTTGTAATAAGGTACATTTTATAATCTTAAACATCTAAATTATACAAGTAGCGCCATCTAATTTTTCCTTGGGAAGGTAACCGTGCAGGATGTCATTTGTTAATCTGTGTTTGTTTTCTCCCTGCTTCCTTGTCTTTGCATCGCATCATAGTATGGCGCCGAAATGTGTTTTCTAAGTTTCTACAGTAAAATACGTATATAAATTGTCCATCAAAATGATGGAGATGGAGATTTAAATGAAAACCAAATACTTCAACAATACGATGGTTGACAGGTAGTCAAATTCAATACTTTTATTGAAATGTCAAAAACGATACTCCTCTATGAATTTTGTATTGGATCGCAACTTATGACGTCATCATATTTCTGCGTCAAATAGCATACTTATTTCCTTTAAATTAGCTAGAAAAAATCCAAAAATAGGTAAATTGTCAAATCAACGGATGAGACTATGATTATTTTTTTAATTATTTATTGCATTGAAAAGTTGAAACAATTTATTTTAAACCTATAAAACTATCCAATTACAAACAAACATACGCTTCAATTTTATTTATATGAATAGACGTATGTAAAGCCTTCAATATTTCTATTTACATACCCACCAGATGATTTTGAACAATAATATAAAAACATTTGCAACTTAATTTTACATTGTACTATACACAAAAGATTTTACATCGATATTCAAAAAAACAAACAAATAGACAAACGTTTCAATTAAAACGGTTTATTGAATCCTTTGATTATTGATATTATATTTGCGATGTAGCTGGAAAACAGATATTCACAGAAATATCGACCTTATTTACTTGGAATTAAAAGTGACTGAAAAGTAAAATAGATGTAGAATATAACGTTGTTTCTGTTTAGTAAATACTTAGTTAATGTTTACACAGTTGTGTTTGATTTTCTATCATTGTTGTGTAATGTATATATATTGGTATATTGTATAGATTTTCGTGTATAGTGTATTATACCGATAGGTCGAAAGAAGACCAAAAAAATGCTGCCTGTCGTATTGGTGTTACTTGTTGCTACTGTAAGTAATATTTTTGTATTTATTTCTTAATATATTATATTTTTTGTGTATGTTAAAAGTGACGTGTATAAAGTCGAACTTAGTGTATCCTAGTTAGTCGCGGAGAACCTAACGGGTAACCGGGGCTCCGGCTCGACGTGCAGGAGAAGGAACGGGGTGGTTTTTAGTCAGTAAGGGTCTGACACTCCCTCCCGCCTCACCCAGGCGGGAACAGTCATTCGATGATTTTCCCCCCTTAAAAAAAGTGTATCCTAGTTAATAACAATTTTTATTTAATTACCTTAGATCAATATAAACTGCGTTTAATATGAAAAAAGTGATTTCAAGTTCCTTCTTCTTTTTAAAATCTAATACTAATAAAGTCGTCGCGGGGAACCTAACGGGTTAGTGGGGCTCCGGCTCGACGTGCAGATGAAGGAACGGGGTGGTTTATAGTCAGTAAGAGTCTGACACTCCCTCCCGCCTCACCCAGGCGGGAGCAGGCATTTGATGATTTTCCCCCCTTAAAAAAATACTAATAAAGTCCGTTAAACTGTCAAACACCAAGCGGTCACCGGTGACCGCGACCTATTGTTCTTTAATTGTGTCTATAAAACCGGTACTCGACGAGTTAATACTTCCAGATTTATAGTTTTTACTGTCACCCGCTTTATATTCCCATAATTAATTAATTGAACAACTCCATCCAACTTCGTTACTATATTAAAACATGGTGAATTAAGTATTGTATATGATAGGAAAGTCAATTATATATTATATCTATATAGTGTTGACTGACTCGTTGGCCGAGTGGTCGCAAGTGCGACTGCCAGGCAAAGTGTCTCAGGTTCGATATCCGGGTAGTCGTAGTAGTAGCACGGAGTCTGGAATTGTGCCCGGTATATGGCAATAGACTCACCCCCTACTACAAGGGACTCATAACATAAATAGTCAAAGTGGGTGTTACATTGTACAGTGGCATTAAGTGCCGTAATGTCCACCTCTGCCTACTCCTTCGGGGATAAAAGGCGTGATGTTATGTTATGTTCTATAAATAAATTTATATATCCCTTAACCAACGAGCATGCATGAAATTATTTATGACTGTTGATGAAGTGAAAGAGGTATGTAGGAATCGTAGTAATTGGCGTTCCATAGTCTCTGCCTACCTACATTGGTTACAGGCGTGAAGTTATGTATGTATGTATATTCTATAAAGTATAACAAAGACATATTTATCGTTATTAGTAGGTAGTCTTACAAAACTGTGTTCTGAAATGGCCTCAATCAAAAGCCTAGATATTATATCCTAGACACCTGAGAACATACAGGTTTGTGTGGATACACCATAAGTTCTGTATTTGTTAGGATAAGTCTTTGAGATAAGGGTCTTTATAAAAATAAGTACTTGTTTGTAGGATACCTATCATGGTATTGAAACCTAAAACGTTGTTCTAAACTAGTCATTATGACTAAATCAGATACTAGGTTTACTAGCAGCCACATATTGTAATTTAAATTATTAATCCATCTTAAAATCGGTTGATAAATAATATTATTATATTTCCATTTGTATATATTTCTGCGGAAATCATCATCATCAACAGCCTATAAATGCCCACTGCTGAGCAAAGCCTCTTCTCACACGGAGAAGGTTTGAGCATTAATCACCGCACTTGCACAATCCGATTTCAAACTTTTAATTAGAAATTAAAAGCCCAGGTTTCCTCACGATGTTTTCCTTCACCGTTTGTCAGTGGTGTCTAGATAATCTTAGAAAGTACATATAACTCGGAAAAAGTCACATTGGTACTTGTCGTTGGTAGGTTTCGAACCCGCACCGTCATGCATGAGAAGCGGGCGTCTTAAACCTCCGGGCCACAAAGACATTTTATTTTCTGCGGAAATAATAGCATGGAACTATACAAATAGTGGTAACACTACAACCTCCATGAATAAATGTATGAGACGCGTGATTCAGACAGGATTCGCACCATTCTAGAGAACATAATATATTGAAATCGAGAGGCAAATTATATCGCAGTTGTCATTACAATAATGTGTTGTACATACTAGATACGACTACGATTTACATGTAATTATGTGATTCTGTAAATGGAAATACATATTGGATTGCTCTATTTGCAATAGAAACCCTTTTTTTCAATAGCGAGTAACTGTTTCTACTTACTTCATATTCAATTAATAAAATTCATATAATCTACGTTTAAAATGAAAAAAACTGTATCAACCTCCTTCTATTTCAAATCGAATAATAATATAGTCTGTTAAACTGTCAAACACCGCGCGGTCATCGGTGATCGCAACCTATTGTTCTTTAATTGTGTCTATAATGACAGTACTCAAAGGGTTAATATACTTCAACCTGCACCGAAGTGTCACAAACACTTCGGAAAACCGCTTCAAAATCGGTTAAGGCAACCGCGAGATAATCGCGGAATAAACATACAGGACAAATTGAGGACCTTTTTTTTAAATCGGTTAATAAAACATTTATTGCCTCCCTAAGTGTATTGTACCCAACCATTACATATCTGTTAGAATAAGGGCTCGTACACAAAACTGCGATGCGATGCAAATTTGCAACGCAAAAAATTACGATGCGAATTGCTGCGATGCGATTTCGCGCGAAAATGCGTCTTCCAAGTTGACCATATCTTTGACGACCGTGAATCGTACTAAACGTATTTTAAATTGAAAACTAGGTCGTGACATGGATCGTAAAATGAAGCGTGCACTTCCGTTATTGCTTAGGAGATACAGGAAAATGGATTAAAGAAGATTTCGGGAAGATAAGATTTTGATGCGCGATACGAATCAATTCGCAAGTTCTTGCGATGCGTAGAGGGAGCTCGCACATTTTTGCGACGTCGCATGGCAGTTTTGTTTACAAGCTCTCATTTCCAATAACGATCTATCATAAAATAACTATAAAAATTGTTAACTAATTCTTGTTTTCAACAGAGCGCACTAGCTGCCCCTGGTGCCTACTTAAACATCATATCGATCGATGAAGCGATTCCACCAAAGGATAGCGGCAGAGGGGTCTCCGCGTAAGTATGAACATAACCAAAATTTAATTTGTAAATATTACTTATCAATCACATTACGTTTTAAGCTTGTGTGAAATTGAAGATGTTAACGGCGTAGATCCTTGTCTATTTTAAATCACCAAAATCAGGTTCAAAAATAACTAAAATTAGAACATGTTTTTTTTTAATCTTACACTTCTTATTGGAATAAATAATTAAAACTAAAATATATACACCTTAAAAAAAAATTGGAACAGACCCTATGATAACTTTATTCTATATTTCTTTGTTTTTATTGTATTGAGACATCTCTGTCACCACAAAGATCATGAAGATCACAAGGAAAAAACAAACGACTAACACTAATTCCTTAAACAGTTTCAGAATTGACCAAGCCACTGAAATCAGCAATGAAGGAGAAATTAGCGCATACCTGCTGACCTTCGCACAGACCACCAAGGACCTCGGCAATGATGCTGACAGAGTCAGCCAGGCTTTAGCCGCCGCCCAAACCATTGCTTACCTCGGCACAGTCTCTTCAGGTGTTCCTGGTGACGCTTGTGCTCCAGCTGACGTGAGTTTTGTTGTCTTGTTTATTTCGAAAGCATGTTTTTAAAACTATCTATATACGTTATTATTTCTTCAGTAAGGTTTTATCAAGAGTAAAAAGGCTTTAAAATTGAGACATAATTTTCCGTATAAAATAGCTTAGTAAAAATATTCGCTTGGTAAAACAAATACTTAATGTGTCTTACTAAGTCTTTTATCAAAATCTCCAAGACCAAAGAATGTAAAAACATTGGAATTACTTCTCGATATTTATGATTTTGAATCTCTCCAGTTGATCAACACCGTCGTGTCTGCTTCCCGCTCCGGCAACAACCAAGCTGTCCGCTCAGCCACCGCCAAGTTCGTCAGCTACTTGAGCTCCCTCATCGACAACATCGTTGAGCTGTCTGTCAACCCTGAATCCGTGCGCTTCGCAGTAAGTGTTACTTTATGAGAAGGATAAATGAAGAGGCTGATGAATGTAGAAGAATCGAAAAAACTGTGACAGAATAGAATTAAAAAATTATTGTCTCTATTCTTCCCAGTGGGAGACTTGTGTAACCGTATATGGTGATGATGAAGATGATGATGAATGACACAGAAGAGAGCTTATAGTATTTTTTCCAATCTATGGATTGGGTATTAGCGTAGCTTGAGTTTATTCTGAACAAATAACAGAACAGTTGATGATTTGCAAACGCAATGCATACGTAAAATGGCCATCATTAATCAAACGTGGCCATCCATCACCACACTATCCCAATATTGTCTATCGTCTAAACAATTTCGACCCTCTGTCGTTATTGATACAAATGATTTTTCTCTACATTTGATTAACGATCATTCATTTGATAGTGACATTGCATTTTTTCTTGATACAGTGTAGGACTTGTCACCAAAAATTGTTAGTGGGACTAATTTTTTTGATTTCTTAATCGCCTTTTCCTTTAAAGTATTTGATCATATTATTTTCATCACTCACTGATTTCTATGTAATTCAAAGAAAGTTATCATTTTAATAATGGAAAATAGACCTTAAGGCACGTAAGGAACAATTTCCTTTCGACATTCTACTACGTAATCAATTTGCAGGTTGGACCTCGTGGTAACTGCGCTGCTGGCGGCAGAAACTACCAATTCGAAGCAGCCTGGGACTCCATCCTTGCCTCCGCCCCAGCTTCATCTACCCAGTAATGATATCACCATTATTCCTTTTAAATATTACCTGATAACCTGATTAACAGGAAACAAAATCGTCTAAGTCTATATTTTCTGTAACCAATCTGTGGTCCCCAAGCCAAATGCTAAGTGTGAAGATTAACGCAAACCTCTTCGAAAAACAGAAACTTTTGTTTAACAGTGATTATGTTTCAGTTGACAAAGTATTTAAATCATAGCTTAACTGATGTAATAATCAGGAAAGTTACGTCAATAAGATAGTTTTGTTAATTTAAAACTTTAGAAACGTATTTTTTCTTTTCTCTTTAAATTAAATACTTTCGACGATATATTAATTTCAAATACCGTGTGACGTCACAGCGTGCCACATTTTGTAGTACGTTATGACGTAACCACCTCCCATTCCTAAACTTAGCTACATTTTATCTAAGTATTGCAACTTAATATGAGAAAATAAATAAACATGTCTAATATTTTTTCATTATCTAACTGACGATTAGATTTTTTATTTTGATACCCGGACACTACTCAATTTATCTGCTGGTTAATAGAAACTTAACCATGGAAAACAGGTCCTTAATATCGTAAATTCATTCCAGTTTGGTGAACGAACAATACTGCGCAGCTAAGCGTTTGTTCAAGGGCTTCAGTGTGGTCAGCAACAACGCTGGTGCTCTCCTCACAGCAGTATCCCTGCCATCCGTCAACCAAGCCTTCCAGAACGTGCTTCCACAGGCAGCTAACGTAAGAATCAACATTATGACTCATAATTTATACATAGTCATCCACTTTTTCCCTATACACAGTTATGTATTACTATACGTCATGAAATATAATATGTAGGTAATACGGTTAATAACATACGTGACTTTTTGAGCAACTTGTTCGACTAATTTCGATCTCTAGGCCCCTCTCCCAGCTCGAAACTAGTTGAGCGACCGGTAACGTGTTTTAATTAGAAAGCAGTATTACCTTTTTACAATAACCAATCGCGCCTACGAGAGACGTGGCGTAATATAGCCTTTATGATAATATTAATTTTTAATTTGCTTTTCAGTTCTTGGCAGCTCTTCCCTCAGGCAACGCTGCATCAGCTGCTTCAGCTCTCAAGCAAGCTCTTTACAACTCCGTTTAATTTAACAATTATAAACAACTATAGACAATCTACACTAGTCTACTTTTAACAACTTCTTCATTAAGCCAATATGAATTAAATTCTGTTGTCTTAGTATTAAAGTTTAAAATATACTATCTCGTTTTTATACAGACTTTGGCATATCAAACATTGATATATATCGGTATTTTATACACAAAATCATAGCCTAACGATGGATATATTATGTATTTATATAGATTTTCTTCTATGAAGATCAAACTAGCACCCTTTTATATAATTACTGGAAATTCATAATTTGTATGTATGTAAATACAATTTATATGTACACCAAAAGACTCGGCTTTTATTTTATGGACTTAGTTTTGTTTCAATAAAGATGTATCCAATTAATTCAATTTATATATTGTTGTTTCATTCGTGTACTTGTTTCTACTCGTAAGTTAGCCCGCATACTCAGTATTAACAGAGGAGCTAAGTTGTTCTGTAAAGTTTAAATCGAAAGTTCGAAGTGTGCTCAATTGTATTTTTGTCCACCATTGGTCGAGATTATTTATCACACAGCCAATAACATGGTGGACCGCGATCAAGCTCTAAAGTTCTCTAAAATTCTAAAGTTAAAATTGACAGTTCCAGAATAGCTTTTTTTTTTTTTTTTTTTTTTTTTTTTTTTTTTTTTTTTTTTTTTTTTTAAGGGGGGGAAAATCATCGAATGACTGCCCCCGCCTGGGTGAGGCGGGAGGGAGTGTCAGACTCTTACTGTCTTACTGACTAAAAACCACCCCGTTCCTTCTCCAGCACGTCGAGCCGGAGCCCCGGTTACCCGTTAGGTTCTCCGCGACTCCGAATCGGCATCGGCCCTATTGGGCCCCATCTGTGGTGGTCTGATGGCTCTTTGAGGCGCGCGCGGAACGCGACGCGCCGTACGCTCGGGACCAGAATAGCCTAACAGATCAGCAGCAAAAGAGTTGCCGATTAAAAACTATGAATATTGTCACACCAAAACTGTCATCTACTATATAAAAATAAGTCGAGTTTTCCTTCCTGACGCTATAACTCCAGAACGCACGAACCGATTTCCACAGTTTTGCATTCGTTGGAAAGGTCTCAGGCTCCGTGAGGTTTATAAAATATAAAACCAAAAAAAATGTTTCTTCATCTTTTAATCACCAAACGAAATGTTACATAAAACAAAGCCTCTGGTTGCGAAACGGAGTTCGCCGGGTTTGCTAGTTAACTATAATAATAATTATCATTATTAATATTACTTTTACCTTTTAAATAAATCTACCCATACAATTAAACATTTGAGGAAAATTACAACATAACATGCAACATATTGACAATATTGTCCTTAAAGTCTATAAATGAATAGTGTATTAAGCAATAGTTGTGTCAGTAGGTGACTGAGTTAATTATAATCAATTTTAATAAACATTTATGTACGTAAAATAATGATTTTAATCACTTTTATCAGTGTGTTTCTCCCTGTGTTTGATGTGTATGTGGCATATTCAGGATTCAATGACATATATGGTAAATAATTATATTTATATAGATATTTTTAAGTCAAAACTGTAATTGTCCATCGATATTTTTATACAACAATTACCTATACCAATTTCTGTTAGTCATCGCAATATTAACGGCTGGACCAATTACCCAAAATACTTTTTTGTTATGGCTAGGAAAATATTTTTAAGAAAACAATTATAATAGGTTCATTCGGTCTTTGTTTATATTATTAGCTCACCACTCTATGGGGCCACCACCATATCATAATCATAGTGGCTTTCATATAAGCCTGTTCTAATTTAGACATTATAAATAGGGGTACAATTTTTTATATTATCGCCATAACCACCAACAGCCCGAGACAATCCTTGAGTACATATACTTGAGCAGAGGACTTTTGGGGCGGGGAATCATCCAATGACTTCTCCCGGGTAAGACGTGAGGGAGTGTCAGACTCTTAATGAGTAAAAAACACCCCGTCCGCTGCTCCGTATCGCCATCAATCCTATTGGGCCCCATCCGTGGTGGTCTGATGGCTCTTTGAGGCGCGCACGGAATTCGACGCGCCGTACGCTCGGGTCTAGTTCTAGTCGGGCGACGGTCGGCGAGTCACCCGTGCTCGTCGTCCGCAGACCCGAGCGAAGGAGACTGGAGACCTATCTGCAGTCTCCTTTACACAAAGCAAGTTAAAGTTCAGATTTATCAGAAAGTGCTGCCATAGCGAAAAGGCTGCTTTATCGTCACCACAAAGCACGTAAAACTCGTATTATCTATCTGATCATAATTTGTATATTTTTCAGCGAAAATTACCTTAATTGAAAATACGAATGAAGACAACAAAAAGCTCAATGACATTTTTGAAAATGCTTGTGGCAAATATTATGAAATAGATCGTATATCGCTTAATCAAAAATATCAGTAAGTTTTGTTTTTTATTTCATTAACGTTACCTCATAGCATATTTTTCCAACAAACTGCTGATATGCATATATGGTAATAGGCTCACCCCCTATTACATGGGACTTATAGCACAAATAGTGAAAATTGGGTGTTACATTGTACAGTGTAAGGTGCACCTCTGCCTATCCATTCGGGGATAAAAGGCGTGATGTAATGTTATGTCCACTGCTTGACTATGGGCTTGCAGTACAAAATAGGATTAAAATTTGCTATAATAATTACTCGTAGCAGGCGGGTTAGAGATATATAAATAGAAGAAGAACTATCTATGTTATCATTTTTACAAACTGCACCAAACGTATGATACGTATGTATAATATAACACCTTTTATGTCCGCAGTTTGCCTCCCCACGCTGTTATACACTTCGCTGTCCCTGGTTCTTATAATTACAATCATGATATGGTCAAAGATAATTTCGTGTACGCCAGCAGTTTTACCGATCCAAATAAGATAAATTGCACCAAGAATTCCGACAATGAAGTTTATTGCAACGAAACTGCTAATCTTGTGAACATTCGTCTAACACAGCTTGATGACGGGTCTGTGTTCAACTTCGTTCAGAGCTTCCAGCTAGATCGCATTCATTCTCTCACTGAGGAAAGATGCAGACCACGCATCAAGAGCATTGACAATTTGAACACTGTTATTATTTGTCAGACATTGAAGACAAACTTTATGACTCTCAAAAATAACTATAACAAATTTGATATTAATATAATTCAAACGGATGACAATTCCTGTGATGAAACTATCAAAGATAACCAACATCGCCTCCTTGCGATACTGAGAGCTGAACCTACAGTTGATACACTAATACCAACTGTGTTATTGAGGACTTCCTATATATCCTCTGAGGATAGAACAGGTTTGCCAAATTCCATGAACTTAGTTCCTTGGCAATTATTAAAGTTTGGAGTTTTGAAGTTCATACAAAATGTTGGTTGGCAAAGAGTGGTAGTAGTGTCTGATGACTCCCAGTTTAGCGTCGATTTTGAAAAAGAGTTGACGGATTTATTGCACAAGAAAAAAATTGTGTACGCTTCTGTTCGGTGTGATAGTGCCGAGTGCAGTTTAGGAAGCGTAAGTATTAAATCTATACTAATATAATATTATAAAGCTGAAGAGTTTGTTGTTTGTTTGAACGCGCTAATCTCCGAAACTCCTGGTCCGATTTGAAAAATTCTTTCTGTGTTGGATAGCCCATTTATCGAGGAAGGCTATAGGCTATAAAATATCACGCTACGATTAATAGGCGCCGAGCAGAGCGAGTGAAACCGCGCGGAAGTAGCTAGTTATTAATATATATAGCTTCTGCCAGCGGCTTTGCCCGCTTTCAAACGGACCGTAATCTACCTCTGTTCCAAATTTCATCCCGATCCCTTTTTGTTTTGATGTAACTGAGTCCACATATACATGTAATAAAATTGTAAAAGGTCGGTATCTGTACATTGAAGATAAAAAGAAAAACTTTATTAGGAGAACTTTATATATAAGTATACGCAATAGAAACCAAAACAATGATTTTTAGAACTTTTGTCTGTTTGTCTGTACGTTTGTTTGGGCTAATCTCAAAAACGGCTGAAACATAATTAAATGCGATTTTTTTTATTTATGAACCGATTTACACAAAAGAAAGACTAAATGTTAATCCCAGCAAACCGCAACACAATAAATACTTGTAACACCGCTGGTTTTTCGGTTGTCCAAAGGCACTGTCGATTGCTTACCATCAGATGACCTTTCTCCTCGTTTACCGGCTTATTCCATAAAACTATGATAAACACATTAAAACTATAAACTACTACTATAGAAAAGGTTGCTGGCGTACAATGTGTCGCGTGTTCTATTTTCTCACGGAACAGCACTTTGTGTGATCCACAAATTGTTGTTTCGGGTCTGGGTGTGATATGTATTTGCACTTGTATGTTTGTGAACACACCGACGACACAGGAGAAAATCCTAGTGTAGGGCAATGTGCTTTTAAATAAAAAAAAATAAAGATCATCCACTTTCAGCTAACAGGAAAATTGAGAAAAGCCTCACCAATGATAGTCATCGTTAATATGGAGAAGGGTAATGATATATTTGAATTAATAACCAAAACGAGGCACCCTAAAACCAGTCACTCTAAAACCACGTGGATTTTAAGGGATATGAAAGACACAGAGTTGAATCTATTGAATGAACAGGTAACTAACAATTTATTAAATTTTTCTAATTTGACCCATTACTTAGAACATTTCAATTCTAAGATACTCTTAAGCCGCAATCAGATTTGTATGATCATATGTATTGGTACGGTCACCCTAACCAACAGGGATATTACCCACATCTAATGTCAGATAAGTTACCAGAACTCAGGACTCAGTACGAGTTTTTTTTTATATATTTGATGGGCCGACGTTTGACCACTATTTCGTCTGGTGGTAAGCGATGATGCGGTCTACAATGGAGCACGTCGTCCCATCAGCAAGCTATTCACTCGGGCCTTGTAGACACCCAGGTTAGGAATTACAGACTCTAGTAAAGAATTCCACTCCTTAGCTGTACGCACAAGGAAGCTTGATGCGAAGCGCTTCGTGAGTGTTAGTGGGACATCTACCATGAATCGGTGACGCTTCGCCGATTGTCTTGTGGTAGTTTATACTACGTTTAAGAAAATCGAAACAAATACTCGTTCAGAGCTCTGATTGGCCTTCACCAATGAATCAACGAATAAGAGAGCTTAGTACGAATTTCATTTACGTTTAAAGTAATATAAACCAGACCGCGTTCGGCGCTCTGATTGGTTGGTTCATTTGAGCCGACCAATCACAACGCCGAACGCATTCTCGTTTCAATTACTTTAAAGTTTTGACTGCCAATAAAAAACTGCTGAAAGGAAATCCTCCGCTAACGTTGGTCACTGGTGACCCTCATGGCGTTTAAACTGTCAAACACCAAGCGGTCACCGGTGACCGCGATCTATTGTTCTTTAATTGTGTCTATAAAACCGGTACTCAACGAGTTAATGTCCTATAAAACTCGTACTAAGGCTCAATAAGCACTTAAGCTAGGTAATACTTATTTTTTTATTTTTCAGATATCACAATTATCACAAAAGATAAACGTGTTCTCAGTCTGTTTGCGTTCGCATAACTCTAACGACTACAACTGTGATAATATGGATAATGATATCAGAAATGGTGTTGCAATCATCGCTGACGCCTATATTAATCGACACCACATCAATAGTTTTACTGACAAAACGAAGAAAAATGTATTTTACAGGTAATACATATTCAAAAGCTTTTCTTTATTTCATGATAAGCCTATCATCTTCTTCTTCTCTCTTCCATGATAGCCGGCGAATTACTAAATTTCTTATTTTTTTAACTTCAATTGGGGTAATGACAGGGTATGATAAAAAAATATAATTAATCCGTAAGTTAGGTAATGAAAAAATATTTATTTTATTTTGTCGTATAATAAAACAATACTTAGATAAAACGAATCAAAGTTTAGGAGTGGGGGCTAAAACGTTATTTCTACGTATAAAATATACATAGAAGTGACGTTACGCGACATTTCAAATCAATATATCGTAAAAGTATTCGTCGTCTAAAAATAAAAAATACGTGTCTAATGATTTAAAATAAGTAACCAGGCGGACATTAAAATAAAAAATAGGCATCTACTCTATTTTTAACCCTAGAATCGACTGCACGTGGCAATAATGTCTTATTGTTTTCATTTACAGATTATTCTGGGAAAAGATGAATGAAGTAAAAAGAAACGATGCTTTTGTGTGTGTCAAGAGAGTATCACCAAACCATAAATTGGTATCAACAATGTACGTTAACGTTAGCGGAGCTGTAGTGCATAGTTTTAAACAACCTTTCAAGAATGTCCCAAAAGACTCGCCATTTTGCCTGGCCTATAGTTACAAATATTTCAGTCCCTGCGATTACGTAAGGCCTTTAATCTTCTTGTTTGTGGTTATTATGTTTCTCATGACTGTCTGTTGGCTTACATGTTTCTTTGATAAAACCACACCTCTGAACCGAAATAATTATTATAGACATTTTGATTAAATTATTTCATTAATTTCCTTTATTTTTTTCTATACTTGATTTATATATTTTTAAATATTTGATTATATAAAAAAACATTTAAAAATATAATAAGCAGTAGCCCACCAGTAACGGGAGAAATCCAAGCTACCGGTGGTCAGGGCTCCAGAGAAAGGAATTTCCGGACAATACGCGCCGTATCCAGAAGTACTGCTTTCTGCATCAGGCCCTTGACCCAACCATCTAACGCTAGCCTACTCAGATGTTGGTCGAGGCTTTTAGCAATGAGGCCATTGGCAGATACGACTATCGGCACAATGACTGCTGAATCCACATTCCACATGTCGACAATCTTATGAGCTATTATTATTATTATTTAATTCATTATTATGTTTGTGACGACTGTCGCGCTGCTACTGTAGTACCAGTACCAGTACCAGTACGTCAGTCGGCGCGTCGCGTATCGTGGAATGCTGCTCATGAATATGAGGCTCTAGCATGGCTTAAAACTAGTCGAGTTCCTCGTCAAATTAGTAACGTGAATAAGCCGAAAACATAATAATTAATTTAGTATGTCTTACGAAAATTTTAATATAATTTATTTGTTTATTGTTAGAAAAGTAATGGTTACCAAGCCATAATTTTAAATTACATAAATGAATGTTAGACACAGTGACCAATGCGGAATGTATTGTAATTGGTTTCCAATCGTGTTTTTATTTTATATGTAAGCAAACCGATAATATGTAAGGATCTATGTATAAGTAAATAAAAGCCATAAATATTTACCCGAGGTTTTTAATCAATTCTTTGAGATACCTAATATCCTTCTTATCGTGGAGTGCGTCGTCATCTTCACTCTCTGGCGCTGACGTCGTCCTGGCAGCTTGCTCCTGGCCTGGCAGCTCGAAAATAAATCCTCGAATCTGCCAAGTTAAAAAATACATCATCATATGCCTATGAATTTAGTACTATATCATTGAAATAAGCATTTAACCCAAATTCACCTTCTGATTGACTGCTCTCAAATTCTGAAGCAATTTTAACGCCGACCTCTTTTCTGTCGGATGTGAGACTTGATACAGCCTTATTGCCCTGTGAAACTACATTTAAATTATTTTATTAATGCAAAATCTTTTTGTCACAATTTTTCTATTGACTATCCAATTAACATTATAATTATAGATGTTCTGAATATTCAAAACGGTCGTCAGCTATTTGGAAAGCAACAGTAGATATGATAAACGGCAGATCTAAGATCTTTATTTTTTAAAATGTTAACTTCATTTTATTTAATATTGCTGTGCCCTTACGGGGTCCATAAATGTTACTTAGCTTTAAGCGTATTGTAACACCTTATTCCCTTTATGGTATAAATGAATATGAATATGAATATGATCTGCTTGGCAGCAATGACGATCTGCTAACTGAACAAAACATTCTACACTCCAACACGGATTCATCCTTTCCTTGTTTCGTCCACAAATATAATATGTTCCATTTTTAGCATACGTCCTTACTTTCACAATCCAATCATTATTTTACTGCTGTCCCTAAAATTCAAGACTTACGCGTTCCAGGAGACACCAGGTGTCACGATACTGTTGTAGGAAGACCAAGGGAGTGAGGACTGCAGCGTAGAAGCCAGCCTCGCGGTCCAGCATATCCTCACTGTCAGACATGCTGTAGATTGTGCCACGGAACTTATGGAGGAAGGCCGTATTCGTGTGGTCCTTGTCGAAACTGGAAAAACATTATCGTCACCATTCTGTTTCCATTCACCGCTTTTATGAAGTAGAGGCAAAAAAACAGCCAGATCAACTGATGGTAAGCGATCAGCACCGCCCTTGAGCATGGCCTGTCTGAAATAGCAAGCCACTAAGCTCCATCTTCAACATTTTCCATCCCACCTAGGGTACCTTACAGCTTAGTCATGGATACATATTATTTACCTATATCAAAAATATTTAAAAGAAAGCTAGTCACTTTAAATACTTTTCCGTGCTCAGCGTTTGGCCAATGTAGTTCTATATGTAATGTAGTAGATGTAAATACATTCACATCTATTTACATCTGATTTTGAATCCGAAATTTTAAACGTGTTTGCGTTGTACGCAATTTCGGACAAATGCAAGCTCTTTTAGCTTGTTTATGGATTCCCATCTCAATGCATTTGCCCATTTTTCTCATATGCTTATGATCTAAATTATACCTAGAAGTAACCGTTTTTTTAATGATCTATTTACTTACTACGGCAAAATCGCATAGAATCGCCTGACAATATCTCGCGCCGTAGGTCGTACAGCAGCGCATGCCATTTCATGCCCCACTTTCCGTTCCTGGGGCGAATGTTTGAACAACCAGCGGTCTTCTTGAAAATCTGATTCCAAATCCATATCTATGCAAAAAGACGGCCACTGGAAAGAATATTGGTTCATAAAGATTCATATTGTGTGTGTGTAAGTATATTGTTTTACACCACTCAAATTCAAATTTCAGTAGGACTGTTATTCTAAATTCTGTTGATGCTGGGATCTTTAGTGTGACTGCTGCGGATCCTGGTTGATACCTAGGGTGGATTAAGTCAATCACATTCTCATCACGAAGATAGACCCTGAAACTATTCCCAATTGATGGCAACGAGGAGGTGTCCTGTTCCATGGCACCTGGTGGGTGTATGTGCTGCTTAAAGGTCTGCACAGTCTTCGTAAATGTTGTATCTACTAACCACAAGACTCAACCAAAACAATACATGACATATATTCTGTGCCATCTCCGTCTCTTTCTATGTTTCATGTTAATTTGTCTCCAATGAGAACATGTCGCATGTAATTTTACGATTTACTCCATGTTCAGTTTATTTTGATGGTAACTGTCAAAATGACAACAACAAAATTCTATCGTCTATTGCAGGTATAGCTAATAGCGCAGCAGCGCTAGTTTTTATACTTTTCTTGCAGAGTAATCTTCTGGAGACCCATAAACTTGAAGACAAACACTTGAAGTGGAATGAGGTATCTAAAATTAATCTACTAATGATTAATGACCCTGCCACCACCATGCAGCTATGCCCCCAAGGTCAAAGTCACATGAGTAATATTAGACACACTTACAAACACAAAAATAAGAATACCTATCTATCGGACTTGGTCAATACTTGGTCTTGCTCGTTCTATAGTATAGATTCTTATGCTTAGAGAAGAGCGAGCGAGAAATTGTGAGCTAAGCCAAAAGAAAGGTTCACGACGTGCTCTATCATAGACCGCATCATCGCTTACCACTAGGCGAGATAGTGGCCAAACGTGGACCTATCAAATGTAAAAAGAGGTTTTACCTTCTTCAACCACTACGACATTTTTTATCCCAAATCGATTTGAATGTCAATACTCTTTGCTCAAATACTTATGTGCCAATTTCAGATGTCTCGTCCCCATACTTTTTGAATCTCTCTCTGATCTAAAGACAAGCTCACAGAAAGAAATGTCAACACAAAATGCCGAGTGGTGTCGCAATATTTTTTAACACACGAAAGTTATAAATTTCTGAGTAAATGTACTTGAAATGATTTCAATAATGATTCCCCTCATGGTTTTATGGGCTAAGGTAAGTGATATAAAATTTTTAAGTACCTATTTAGGTAAGTAATACAGAGTACACGATCATGAAAAGGAAGGCAGAAATGGGTCGGTCACCACACTTATATACCTAAAATTAGAAACAGTTTCCTCGCGATATTTTTCATCTCTATATATCATAACATAACATCACGCCTTTTATACCCGAGGGGGTAGGCAGAGGTGCACATTAAGCAGTGGCATAATGTGCACCTCTGCAGGTGGGTGTTATTGTACCACTTTTCACCATTTATGTTATGAGTCTCATGTAATAGGAGGTGAGCCTATTGCTATATACCGGGCTCAATTCCAGACTCCGTGCTACTACTGAGATTTTTTTGAAAACCCAATAATACTTTGCCCGACCCGGGAATCGAACCCGAGACCCCTTGCCCGGCAGTCGCACTTGCGACCACTCGGCCAACGAGGCAGTCATATATCAGTAACGAGTTAGTAAACTTAGAAAGTACATAATATAGATTAAAAGAATCGTATCTTCCTACTTGAGACATGCACCTTAACGTTTGGACCAGCACGACATTTAGATACCAAAATACTATTCGAACATAAAATTAATAATGAATTTAGACCACATGAGGTCCTCTGGTCCCATAAAATAGTTCCCAACCACATTGGATACTTTAATTTTCCGCAACATAAAATGGGGTTTGTTATAAACTCGGTCGGGTCGGCTGTACAGTCACTATATCACACTCGGACCCCATTATAGAGGGTCTAAAGACAATCTATTAAGCATATAAGCAGTCAAATAGGATGATATTATCGTCGCTTAACCAGTGTTATAAAGAAAATAGGCAGTCACATTTGATAAATTGGTACTACGTCTTATAGACCTGAAGAAGCATTTCAGGAAGAAATAATTTAGAAAAATGGATTGAAGTTGAATTGGATTGTTGGGTTAATTTACCAAAGGCCTTGATTGGCTTGACCAGCGTGTATGTATCTGTTACATTGCTTAGCGTCAATGTGATTGACCATATTTTTTGTTAAATAAGAAATGAAATGAAATGAAATGAAACCTTTATTTGTCAAAGTCAAAGTCAAAGCGTTTATTGCAACTAAGTGTACAGATGATGTTTATAAAATTATTTACAGTGCTTAATACTTAGCGGCCTCTTACAGACATTGCAAGATTTTTAGTTATGTAGGTATACATTCATTGTTATTAACATTGTAGGTAGATATTACAAATCATAAAGAAAAGAAAAAATAATAATAATTGTCAGGTAGGTATATGTCACATCTTAGTAATAATCAATTCAATAGGTATAATTGCTGTCGAGTTTAGGATGTCAATAATAAAATTATACAATGTCAAAGTATTACAATGTTATATTATGTCGAGTAGGTATAATGAATCCGTCATACATTTCGTTTGTATAGGGCAGATCGACGGTTCCCACATGAAATTAAATTATTTTATTTTGGACTCTAAATATTCCGTCACTGAGTAGAAGCATTCTTTTATTAGGTATATCTTTAGTCGTTTTTGAAATACTAATAGTGATTTTTCAGATTTTAATCCATCTGGCAATTTATTATATATTTTTATACCCATATAGTATGGACTATTACTTAACATTTTTATTTTTGATGGTGGCGCACATAATCTTTTTTTATGGCGCGTGTTGACGCTGTGTGTATCTTCTACTCGTGTGAATTTGTCGATATTTTTAAAAACAAAAATACATAAATCAAGTATGTACATATATTGACGGGACGGTTAAGATTTCGTATTGTTTGAAGTATGGTTTGCAGCTTTGTGTACTATCTATTTGGGCTAGAATTCTTATACATTTCTTTTGCATTACAAATATTTCATGTACGTTTACACTATTTCCCCATAACATGGCTCCGTAGCGTAGCCATGAGTATGCATAAGCGTAGTAATATAGTAATATATTATATGTATTTGTGATACATAGGTACATTTGGTTGGTAATTTTTAGATTAAAGTGCGCTATGATCAGCCTATTTTAGGCATACAAATACTCGTATAAGAGTTTAAATCAGTAAGTCCATTAATTAGTTAGATAAGTAAATATGAATTTGTCGTGTTTTAATAAATTACATGTCAATAGTGTTCGTCAAAAAGTCAGATGAGGAAGACTACTTATAATGCTTAGTAAATTATAATAAATTGATGTCAATAAGTAAGTAATTAATGGATTTTTGTAGTCAATACGTTATAGCTATACATAAGTCAACAAATAAGCAAAATCAAAATTTATCCATTAAAAAATCTGAGACACTATAATAACATTTTTGAAACAGTAATTGTTTTAAAGATTTTTTAAAAGAAATAACATTAGCTTGTTTTAGCTCTTTTGGTAATTTATTATAGATAGCTGGAGCCATACGAAAGATACTTTTATGCATTAATGCGGTATTCGTTCTGGGTATACATAGACGACTTTCATCCCTTTGTGGCCGATTATAAGCTTCAGATAATAAAATAAGGCGTTGAGGATTTAAAAGTTGCCTTACAAACACCGCGGTTTCATAAGACAGATTCCGTTCACACCGTCGCATTTCTTTTTCTTTTTTGGGACCTATTTACGAAATATCTCGAAAATATCATACATAGAAGTTTAAACACAATAAAATCATCATACAAATTTTATAAATGTAAAAGTTTCTTTGTTGGGATGTTTGTCCGTCAATCACGTTGAAAGTACTAAACGAATTTTGATGGTTATAAAGCCAGAGTATGGACTTAGGTGGTAGTACTCTTTATCCCAATTAAATGTTCCCATGGGATAAAACAGGAATCATATAATCATATAAAGGCCGTCAACGCACCTGTGAGTCCTCTGGTGTTCCAGGTGTCCATGGGCGGCGCTGATCGCTTACCATCAGGTGATCCGTGTGCTCGTATGCCTACTATTCCATAAAAAAAATCTATGCGGGGGAAGTCGTAGGCAACAGCTAGTTATGTTAACTAAATTTACTAAAAATCGCGAGTTACTAGCTAATTGTAATATTTCTTAGACATCAATGATGAAAAGAAAATTAATTAATAATCTTCACACTCAACATCTTTATGATGTAGTAGGTAAAATTTTTAATTTCATTTTTCGTTTATGACCGTATCATCGCTTCGACGTAGTGTAATAAACTATTAAAATCACTTTCCGTTGGGAAGTACGAGGTACCGCTAACAGTAAACTCTTTATGGCTGCACCTGTGTTTGTTTTAATGGATATTGACAATTTTTTCCAATGGAAACGAGTATTTTGTTATGCATTGAACATTTTATGGCGCGATAAAAGTTAGCGTTTATTACTTTCTATGTTATCTATATAGGTAAGTATGATGGTCCATGGCACGTACAGGTATAAGTCACTTATACTTTATGCAGATAGTTGCGGTTACCGGGTCGAACTAAGTGGGCACTATGGGATTATTTCAGTTTTTCGACAATTCTCCAGCACGTAGTCTACAATTGTGGCATACGGCAATATGGTTTGAGTGGGCTTATCCCCTATAATAGTAGCGGAGAACCTAACGGGTTACCGGGGCTCCGGCTCAACGTGCAGGAGAAAGAACGAAGTAGTTTTTAATCAGTAAGAGTCTGACACTCCCTCCCGCCTCACCCAGGCGGGAGCAGTGATTCGATGATTTTCCCCCTTAAAAATCCACTATATTAGGTTAATCTTTTCTTGGTCAAGAACCATTTTATGTCATTGTTGCAAACAACAAATAATGTTATTTTTGTTATTATTACTTGTAAGTGGCCCCACATTACATAACATAATATTCAGTCTCATGAGGTTTGAGATTTTTTTATAGTATCTTCTATTTTATTTATTAAAATTTTGACCAAAGTATCTATGAGACAGAAGTGTAGATTTGTGTATTTTTTTATTTCGCGGACCATATTTTATCTCCTGGGCACCACTGACCCAGATAGAACTCATAAAACAGAGAAAAGTGAGTGTTACAATTGATACGCAATGTGTGTATGCTATTATATTGTATGTTCTGTGAAATATGTAGGATTATAGAATTAGGCATTCGCATAAAAAACAATCAAATTTATGGAGTTTCTTACTCGTTCTTCTCCATAAAAATTTACACCTTGGAATGAGCGAATAGCTTCACTTTGAAATTTAATTTATCGTTCAAAAATGCGTTCCTAGAATACTTGAAACCTATTTTTTGACTTTGATTTTGACTTAGACTTTGAAAAAAACCACTAAAGTTGTTCTGCTAAGTTTATCTTCTAAGAAAGAAGGTAAATCAGGAGTCACGAGTCAGGAGACAATCTTCAGTTCCTAATAAAAATATTTTCCCTTCACGTCCAACTTAATAATATTTCTAAACTCATTTATACATTCATTCGACTTAAAAAGAAAAGGGAATTGAAAAAGTTTTCCGCTAAACTTTGTATCTTTTTTAACGAAAAACTTTTCCATGTTTTGACTTTTGCTTTTCTGTGACGGTGATTTAATAGACGTGAGCGACTTTTTAAAACATATTCCTGAGCTCGATTCTTATGAGGAGTTCCTATATTATTTTTTATTTTTGATGTATGAATTTTTTTTTTAATTTTTATAATTATGTGCTTTATGTGACGTGAAGATAAAGCCAAGGATACACTAAGGGACAAATGTGCTGCTACACGTGTGACGTCGGGTGGAGGTGGAGTAGCGCGACGTTGCCAGACTTTGGTCGACATGTCTGGCTACATTAACGCCGCTGTGGACATAAAGCGCACGTTGTCGCCTTTTAATATGTCAGGCGAAATCGGCAGGCTTCGCTTGACATGTTGCCGATACATGTCGTGGGTCAAAGTTTGTCCTCTAGTGTATATCGTTGTCTTAAAGTACTTAACTACTGAACGGCATTCCATTCGAATTTCATCAGAGGGTAGACTGATTCTTAATACATCATTCATTAAGTTTTAAGTACTTGTGGATTTCTAGTTATATATCTACATAAGTCAATTTCATAAGTAGCTATAGTATCACAATTATGTTATTTTCTTCTTTTAAGGGCAATAATGCAGAAGATTATTACTACAACCCTCAAAACTTGACAAAGGCCACGCTGTCTGGGATAGCAGCCTATAGATCAGCATTGACGCTGGACTGGTTGGCTGCGGAAGACCAGCGGCAGAGGGAACTGGCTGCAGCCTTCGAAACTGAGCCTGCTCCTCCAGCAAGGAGTTTGTCGACTGACTGCATCTCGTATGCAAGACCAGCGTCTGGGAAAGTAGCGAGGTTGATGCTGGAGTTGCTGAAGTAAGTTCTACTTCTATTTATTTATGCATACTTCCTTGGGACTTTGGATGTGCGCAAAATCTAATCTAAGGTTCTTTTTTTTTCCCTCCCCAAGGAGCATACCTACTTAGGTACTTTTCAGAGTTAAAATTGATTACAAACTTCATGTTACTACTGTGACGAAAACTCGTAAAATCCCCAATCGAGTCCAAGACCCCCTTAACTGTCGGTGCGATGCTTGGAGACGACCAAACTTTCAGTCTATCTTCATTATGATTACAGGAATTTGGAAGGTGATGAAGGTAACATAGTAACAGATCTGATTCAAGCATTAGTGCGCACCAAACTGCTGGTTGAAACGTCCATGTTGGATGCAGAGCCAGACCTGGATTCCTTGGTCAAGACTCCAGGCGTAATGATGGGAGAACCGCACACTACGTTCCCCAGGATTCTGGCTATGACCTGGATGACAGTTACGGATCCTGTCACCACTAAAAAATTCGGATGGTGTCCTATAAACAAGGTAATGAGATTTTAACTTCAGAAAGGTCCACAATCGATGAGCATAAATGAAGCCATTAATAAAATGAATGACGAAACACGGAGATGTAACGATTATGACATATGCGTTTGCTTATGTGGGAGCAACCCATCTCGGTTTCATAGAGGTGCAATTTTCCGTCTTTCCTGGTGAATTCTTTTAATATCTCTTTCATACCAAGTACTTACCAACCTTGTCCTTACAGTAGCAAATACTTACAACATAAAACATAGATAGTTCCGGGAAGTTCTTAGTTTTAAAATAGGTATTTACTGCAATTTTTCTCAGGTAAACAAATACTTGACGGTAACGAAGCCGATCACGATAGCGAAGCAGATGAAAGCACTGGAGCCCGTCATCGCTCGAGCCAGGTTTATAATGGAAGAATTTATTCAACACGTTACTCCACTGAATATGTACCAGAAGAAGTCACCAGAACCAGTCACAAATATGGTAATAAACCTGACAGTTACTCGGTTACTATAGGACTATTTTCTTTGGCATAAAATATCGACTTAGGTAATGCCATATGTATACAGAATTTTGCTTAAGAATCTGCTATCACTTTTATGCCCGACATTCTGTTAGCCGTGAACTGTCTTAAATCTCATAATGACTTTAATTGAAACTTATCTAGCTAGTAATATATGGGTACCTACTATCTACTTGGGATTTTTACGGCTTTTTTTAAACCCAAATTATAATTGGTTTATGTTGTGCATTAAACACTGGAGATCTCTATTAACCTTTTGAGCGCCAGGGTCACAAATACGTGACAAGCGAAAACTGTCCCTGAGCGCCAACGACACAAATATGTGACAAAAACAGCGGTACATTAAAACACGAAATAAACTATTTAAACATTACTTTAATGCCTATTTATTTATATACCTGTAAAATAGAAGGTCCAAAATTTATTTATTTCCATAAAACTAATTAAATTGCATTATAAATATTGAGAAATTTTACGTTAAAAAGAAAGAAATAAACTCTGAAAAAAGAATGTCCTCACACGCCAGAGTCATAACTGCGTGACCGCTAGTGATGTAGCGCATGTTGGATAATATCATTATTTCAAATCAAAGATCGATTCGAAACTTTCCTCTGGAATATATTATTTTAGGTATAATTTGGTACTAGGATAAAGCAGCATTAATTTTATAAAACCAGTCTTAAAAATCATTCAATAAGCTACATAGTCAAAAATAAAATTTGGTTGGGTCGAATTTCGATATTCACTAATCCCAACTCAAGCGCATCCCTAACGCAACCCGAATTATCAGTACCCTGTACGCCATGGTCACGACTAGATGACAATATCGTGACGTCACAAGCGCGGCGACCAGAAATTAGTGAAGTGAATGAATAATATTTATGATTAATTTACTTGTGATATCGAGTTCAAGATTTATATTAAGTGACTATTATAATGAGTGGGAATTTAATGACTACGGAAGAACTTCTTCGCATATTAGAAGGAGTCTCAGATGACGAAGAATTTTCGGAAACAGAATCTTTGGACGAATTTGATTTAGAGGTAAGTTATTTTTATCTGCTTTTATTTTAAAAAAAAGACTGATTTTAATGTCTCTGTGATACTGATTTTTCTATTGTAACTTGAAGTTTTTTATTAGATTTTATTTACATATGGCTTACTATTAGATGATAAGATAATACAATGCAGATTTTGTATAATGTTGTTCTATTATTCTAAAGATTTATTAGTATAAGACTGATTGGTAACTGTGATAATTATATATAATGGTTAATTGTTTTAATTTGTTACTTTTTATGCCAGGTTTATAGAACTTAATATTTAAAAACATGTATACATAGTACATACTGTATAACATTTTATTAAAATTTTCTATTTTTTCATAGTTTTTATTTACCTTCTTAACCTATTTCAATCATATATTTTTAAGAACCTGTTACATTCGGAATTATAAATCTGATTTAAAAAACGTGTTTCATTTATTATAAAATAATATTGTACTAGAACATCGATAAACGAGATATTACGTTGCCACATCCTTATTTCGGAAGCGAAGTAGTTATTAAAATGGCGGGCCGTCCACGCCATGGTCACAATATGAAGACAGCAGATCAAGAATAGTGTTGTACCTACAGTTATTATATTTAAATATATTGTAGTCTCATATCTGTTATTACGGTATTATACAAGTCTGTAAATAGTGTATAACTATTACTTTAATAGGAAGAAATGTAATGTTGAATTAAATTTCAATGTTATAAGGACATTATATTTCGAAATTAAAGACGAAAATGAAAATAAAATTGATTATCGATGAAGTTTTGGAATCCCTATTTTTTTCGTAGGTATTTGCGGTGAATTTGTGGCCTGGCGTTGAGGGCAAGTTCATGCGTTTTTGCTCTGGCGTTCAAAAGGTTAAAGATCATGTTCCGTGTACATATTTGGGTACATTGTAAATGTAATGTATTTGTTAATCCTCGAAAGTTATTATTCCTTTATTGTTTATAGGCCAAATTATATCCAGAAGATGATAATAATAATATAGCAGCAACAACAACTGAAACGCATTTTAAAACTATGAAGCGGCCAACACGAACTGTCAACACGGTTAGTATGATTTTTACTTATAAGTTATACAGGTTTTTTTAAAGAGTATATGTGTAGGGACAAGTTTTCCAATGACTTCTCCCACCGTGGGTGAGGCGAGAGAGAGTGTCACTCTTATTGATTAAAAACCAGTGCGATCTTACTCCTGGTTCTAACCGGAGCCACGGTTACCTGCTAAATCGTTCATAGCTCCGGAAGTTATGTAGGTTTTAATAAAGTTCGTCGATAATGGTTAAATTAAAACCGTTCTAGCAACTTCTAATCTTCTAGATGCCTTCTAACTTGTACCCTTAGCAGGCTAGTTAGAGATAACAGTTTGGGGTTAAGTTAAGTTTATAAAAGAGCGCTGCTTGAGTCGAATGTATTATAAGAATATGAAGTACCTATAAGGTCTTAGAGGATTTTAACGGTACCCGCGGGAAGAATAGGACTAGTTACAATTACAAATGTCAAAGTCAAAAAGTATTTATTTCAACGAAACCATAGACTTACGTACTTTTGAAATGTCAAAAAAAAATTACTAAGTATAGTCCGTCAGTATGTCCGTCAGTGAAGCAAGGCGCTCTAATGTATTCTACTCTTCAGCCGCGTTTAATTTGTCATAATTAAACTATGTTCCTGTTATAGGTACGAGCAGTGCACGTGGCTCTAGCACAATCTGGTACCACGCCTCAGATGGAACTGGAGCATATGCCGAGAAACGTAGAAAATGAAATTCTGGCATCGTCCTCGCAAATAAGTCTGTGTCATTTACCACATACACCTATAATCATCTTTCTAATCATTTTCTACGTTATAAACATGTTTTGAAATTAAAAACTGTGTTCGATTTAATTATATTCTAACATTGCGACTATCCACTAAAATTTTAGTGATCTTACCGCAATCCTAACTTCGCCTGTCAAACATGGGGGTTATAGCTTGATTTTGGCTCCCCAGTGAGGTTTGAAACTAGTCGAGTAACGTCGTCGAATAATTACGTGAGTAAACCATGTAATATTAACTAAAAAAAAATACGATTTGTATCTAAAATATAATTTATTTAATTTTCAATGTAAAATTAACACTTAATAACTAATTGGGATCATCATACTCGCATTCAAATTCAAGATAAATATGAAAACGTACACAGCACCAGATTTGTACAGGTAACTTAATTTGATACATTTTTATAAACAAACCAGTCAGGAATCCATGCTACCTTCTATTTTACCTACTAACAAATATTGGTCAATTTATTTCATACATAATTTTATTTATCGATACATAACATTTATTCTTTCCATGCATACATATGAAGAATAGTAGCTACACTCTGTTTTTAGGCTTTGAAAGTATAAATTAGTGATATGAATTTACACTTTGGATTATCGTTAAAAATGATATAATAGAAGACTTTTATCATAGGAAACATAGTTAAAAAAGAAGAGAAAAGTTAAAGATTGCCTATATAAAAAAAAATCTAATAAATGACTCTAAAACATGATCCGACTTACAAATACTATGCACATATTTATAGGATCGATTACATAAAAATGAGGTTTTATTTATTCGGGCAGTATAGACAATAGATAATAGAGGTGTAGGTCGTCTATGCTAAGTTTACATGCCGTTGTAAGCGGGGCCGCCGCCGCCTTCAGGAACTACCCAGTTTATATTCTGCGATGGATCTTTGATGTCGCATGTCTTGCCTGTAAAGAGCACATAGAATTTAATTATAGTAACATTATCAATTCAAAGAATGCCTTACTACTGAATCCCCTATTGTGAAACATCCACAAGTTGTTCATACAATAGTAGGCTCTAAACATCGGAAATAAGGTATATAATGGAGTAAGTGGAGAGTGGTCACAGGTGACCGCTTGGGGACTGGGCAGTTAATCTCCGAATGGTAGGCAAAGATGTACACAAGTCAAACATAAAACATAAAAAGAAATATTTTACGGAAATACGCACATGAAACACTAGACGTAAATTTGTATGTACTATGAGTTCCTATGCGCTTTCGAAGTTTGCTTTTTGCAATGGTTCACCAGTTATATTTTTTAACATAATATCACGCCTTTTATCCTCGAAGGGATAGGCAGAGGTGCACATTGTACCACTGTACAATGTAACACCCACTTTTCACTATTTATGTTATGAGTCCCATGTAATAGGGGGTGAGCCTATTGGCATATACCGGGCACAGTTCCAGACTGCTACTACTGAGAATTTTTAAAGAACCCAGTAATACTTTGCCCGACCCGGGTATCGAACCCGAGACCCCATGCCCGGCAATCGAACTTACGACCACTCGGCTAACGAGGCAGTCATTAATAATTTAAAAATAAAATAACTTACAATGTATGCAGTTTTGAGCATTGATTTGTAGGCGTTGTCCATCACCACTCTCCATCGGCACGAATTCATATACACCTGTAGAAAAATTATCACATAAGAAAAATCTAATCTAATCCTACTATATTATTTATTATAAATGCGAGATTTCGTATGTTTGTGTGTTTGTTATTCCTTCACGTCAAAACGGGTGAAGGGATAGAGATGGAATTTGAAACAGGGGTAGATTATGCTCTGTCTGGAGTAATATATAGGCTATTGTTTTACTACGGGAACGCGGCCCAAACCGCTGGCAGAAGATTGTACTAAAATAATTTAAGATTAGTAAATACCATGTGTATTTGGTGTTCGTACTTATGAATACTATCGAAATAAATAATCAGCGTCATATAACATCACAACTTTTATCCCCGGAGAGGTAAGCAGAGGTGCACTTTAAGGCACTTAATGCCACTGTACAATGTAACACCTACTTTTCACTATTTATGTTATGAGTCCCATGTACCTAATAGGGGGTGAGCCTATTGCCATATACCGGGCACAATTCCAGACTCCGTGCGACTAAGTAGGTACTGACATTTTTTTAAAAACCCAGTAATACTTTGCCCGCATTTTCGACCACTCGGCCAACGAGGCATAAATAAATAATCAGGTATCTTGGAAACATGGAAAACTAACATCAATCATTAACTTATATAATCATTATTTTTGTGTCATAGACCTTTGGAATATTTGAACTAAATTCTTTGATTTTGACTAACCTGCAGGACAGAATCTAGCTTCGGGTCCATCATAGACTCCAAGGTTCTGTTTGACTGGGACCGTGTCGTCCTTCAGGGTCAAGTGAGCTGGCTGGTCAGCCTCGTGATTCGTTCCTGATAAATTGGTATTATTTAGTGTTATTGTGCAATTAAAATAATTAATAATGTTATTGAAGATAAAATGAGGTAAGGTTTTGGATCTTTTAATAGTTTCATACATAGGTTTCATATCATACCAACAAGAATATTAAATTGAGAAATTCTAGAACAATTGAGTACTTGCCAACTAGTCAAATTCAATACTTTTTATGAACTGTCAAAAACGACTGTATTCTATGAATTTTTTACGGGATTGTGTTTTGTGACGTCACGTTTTTTTAGCTTCAAACAGCGTACTTATTTATTAAAAAATTGTTTTAAGAATACTATAATTAAGTTGGTCAAAAAATCGATTAATGAAAGTGTGATTATTTTTTTATATTCTATTGTATTGAACAGTCGAAATCATTTATTTATGATTAAGTAAAGTACCCAATTCTGTATTTCCAACACATTACACAAACAGTACCAATATTGCCTTTTATTTTTTAACATTTGATTAAATTGCACTAAGCTTGATTGACACAATATTATGACTAATAATAAAATAATTAAAAGAACTCACCAGTAAGAGCGACAGACGAGAGCAGGTCGAAAGTGATAACTCCGTCAGGTTTGGGATACTCTATCGGCTGACATTCCTTCGCAGGCTTCAGTCTCGCGTGATCAGCACCTGGAGTTGAATTAAATTTATTAAATAAGAATTTTGGACATCAAACACTAGCTAAAGTGCAATACTTCCCACATCTTATTGTATGTTGGTTTAGACATTTTCTTTTTTTATCCCCAAAAGCGTAGACAGTAACACTTATCATCAATCATGTCACGATATATGTAATAAGGGGTGAATCTATCGCTAGGTCGATAGTTAAGCTGGTCAGTTTCAATTTATATGTTTACAAACTATATTTTGTATAGTAACTGACCTCCATGGCTGATAGTCCAGGGTTCCTTCCCCCTCATGAGCGTACTGAAGGCGGAGTACGCGACACCTCCGTACAGACCCAGCGACGTGTGGAACGATGGTCTGCAGTTACGTACTTGCTGGAATTCATACATACATCTTTAGCAATAACCTTGTACTGTTACAGGCTCATAAATTGATTAATTTATACAAATTACTTAGTATTTCTTCTATTTTCGTTTGAACTTATTTGAACAAATTACGTTGACTTATTTTAGGAAAAACGTATTTGAGTGTAACCATTTGTATTTGTTTTACCGTTTCTTATTAAATTGCTGTTAACCGACTATACGTTCAATGTAAAATTTATACATAGACAACATAGTGAAATAGGCCCGCGATTATAATAAATCACAGATTATTAACTCTCAATATTATTAACTCTCAATTGTGAATACTGATATTATCTACATACCTTGAGTTCTTTGTAAACATAAGATTCCTTGAGCTTCTCTTCATATTGTGTGGGAACTACTCCTTTCTCGTGTGTCGCCTCCCCGGCTATGATGAGATCCATTGCAGCTTCCGCTGCCAGCATACCTGTTAGAAGCACGTATTTAGCAATATAACCTCTCCCTTTTTGGGAAATCGATTAAAAGTAAAAAAAATAAGTAAAGAAGTAGTTTCCTTAGAAAAAGAGGTATATAAGAATCGTAGCAATTGGTTTGGGTTCCATAATCTCCGCCTACATCCCCATGGGAGACAGGAGTGAGGTAATATATGTATGTAAATATGTCAAGTATATTGGTCTATTATAATTAAAACTTTGCCGTATACAATACATACCACTCTTCATAGCATTATGCGTGCCCTTGATCCGCGGAACGTTGAGGAACCCGGCGGAGTCCCCCGCCAGCACTCCCCCCGGGAACACAGGCACCGGCAGGCACTGCCAGCCTCCCTCTACTAGCGCACGCGCGCCGTATGCTATGCGGGAACCACCTGCAATACAACATAATAATAATTGTTACAGTGTTACGTCAATTGACTAAATAATGTCAAAATACACAAACGATACTCAATTATAAGTCGCGCTTAAGTTTTTGTTTTTAATGAGATAAGCCGGTAAACGGGCTGTCGGATCACCTGATGGTAAGCAATCGGCGTCGCCCATGGACACCCGAAACACCAGAGGCGTTACAAGTGTGTTACCGGCCTTTTGGGAATTAGGAGTTTGAGGATTGTGGGGGATTCGGGGATTGGGGAGACTGGGGAAGGGGGTAATTGGGCCTCCGGTAACCTCACTCACACGACGAAACACAACGCAAACGTTGCTTCACGTCGGTTTTCTGTGAGGCCGTGGTATCACTCCGGTCGAGCCGGCCCATTCGTACCGAAGCATGGCTCTCCCACACTTTACCTTTATTTGCACCCTCTGTCGGTGGCAGAAACTTAATTCGCATCCAAATCCTTGGAGATTAGAATATTAACAAGTAAAATAGAAACTAAAGTCAATCAGCATAATATGTAGCAAAAGAATCCAGGTTTTCGATAAGTCATTATGACTTCTGTATAGATTATAAATAGAAACTAATACAAACTAAAAACCATATTATCAGTATTCAAATACCAAAATAGTTTTTGACTACTATCTATATAAATCTCTTACTACACGTCATTTTTCTACTAATCCTTGTACAATCTTACCTTCAAACATAGGCCTAATGTATGGATGAGTCTTAAACTTCTGGAACTCCCTGAAGGGGCTGAGGTAAGGGTTCGAGTAGTCGAGGCCGACGACGAAGCCCGCGGCCACGAGGGGTGCTTCGCCCTCCGCCACCTTCAAGTGGTAGATGAACGAGCCTCCGTATGTGTTCTTATCTAAAGGCCAACCTACTGTGTGTTCTACTAAACCGGGCTTGTGGTTCTGAAAAGGAAAAGAATTAAGAATATATTTAAATTGAAATTGTTTAATGTACGTAATAATGGTTTTCTTGTTGACAGAAGCCAAATAGGCTTTGGCGAGATTAAAACAAGATAGTCTAAGTAGTAGTTCTAAGTGTATTAACTCTCTTATATCTCACTCACGATGACACCGAGGAATTTTCATACTCAGGGCAAAAAACATTCATCAATCATTTAAAAAAACAATCAGTATTCATTTTATTTATTTCGTGAGCATCAACAACACTCAGCTACGTACTGAACCAAACATATAGTTACCAAAATAGCTGTAGTTTTAAATTAGTAACAATTTTATTAAAGACACAAAAATATAACACGACGACTGCTGCGACTGCCTCGTGGCCCGAGCGGTCGCAAGTGCGACTGCCAAGCAACGGGTCTCGGGTTCGATTCCCGGGTCGGGCAAAGTATTACTGGGTTTTAAAAATAAATTCTCAGTAGTAGGACGGAGTCTGGAATTGTGCCCGGTATATGGCAATAGGCTCACCCCCTATTACATGGGACTAATAACATAAATAGTGAAAAGTGGGTATTACATTTTACAGTGGCATATTGTGCACCTCTGCCTACCCCTTCGGGGATAAAAGGCATGATGTTATGTTATGTTACAAAACTATAACATACCTCTGGCTTAACTTCCCAGAGCTCTTTAAGTCCAATACCGTACGACTGGGGCTCACTGTTCGCTCTCAAGTTGTACTTATTTGAAATCATCTTTGTTAAATGGCCGTGACAACCTGGAAAGAAATGATAAGGGGTAAATGATGGTTGAAATCAGTGCTATAATTTAGAATTACTATTGAAGGAGCATTGTAAATAGTTGAAATCTTACGATAAGGTTCAAAAATCATATAGCTGTCTACCTTTTAACTAAACACAAATTCAAGTCAACAAAAATGTTGTGCAGATGCAAAAAGGTATAGAAAATTAAATTTCGTTTACTAGTGAGTGGTACTGGTAGGTAAAAGGTGAAAAACCATAGTTAGATATAAAAAAAATACTGACATTTAACCGAGACGACGTCTTCAATAATCACCTTGATTTGAAAATAAAGAAAATAATCAAATCTCACCTTCAGTGAAGATGGTAATCTTGGAGTGGAACTCCATGCCTCGTTCGAACATGTCCTTAGGGCTGCCATCCTTAGCGATACCGACGTCACCCGTGGCAACACCTTTTAGTGAGCCATCATCACGGTATATCAGGTCTGCGCCTGCGCAGCCTGGCCAGATCTGAGAAATATTAAAAAGTTATTCAATGACATATTTTTACCCATTTTTTATTGATCTCATGAAACACTAGATTGAACTGAGAGAATTGAAATTGAAATGCTTGGGGATTTTACCTAAGATGTAGTACTAAGATACTCTTTCACAGACCAACACAAAGTTGTCTACAGGATATTTAAATGAGATTTATCTTTATCTTTTATCTTTATCTTTACCTCAGCTCCAGCAGCCTCTGCTTGTTCAGATAACCACCTTACTAGGTGTCCCAAACGCACCACATAGTTGCCGTGGTTATAGTTAGGTAATCCTGGAAACAGCAAACGAAATGATATTAATTAATCATAATAATTACCTACGAAAATCTGTTTATTATCTCTGCAAGCAGCAATTGTGATTGATTTATTTTACATTGTATTTACAAACACATATTCAGGCGCGAACTAAGGTAAACTACAGTACCTGCCTTTCATTCGAGAACCATGAACTTGGTAACCACTTTTTCCCGGTGTTCAAATATTTTGCCATAGTTTAAACTTATCTCTCTATAACTACTTCTCAGTAATAGCACGGAGTCTGGCATTGCGTCCGATAAATGTCAATAGGTTCACCCCCTACTATATAGGACTCATAACATAAATAGTGAAAAGTGGGTGTTACATTGTACAGTCGCATTACTTAAGTGCCGTAATGTGCACCTTTGCCTACCTCTCCGAGGATAAAAGGCGTGATGTTATGTTATGTTCAAACTTACCAGGAAACACAGGAATAGGTATCCTCCCACTCTTAGTAAGGAGACCGAACTTGTCCGATGTTACCGGAGTGTTCATAGGAGCACCCTTCTCTTGCCAGTCCGGGATCAACTCGTTCAGAGCTATAGGATCCACACAGGCACCTGATAGAATGTGACCGCCAATTTCTGCTGCCTTTTCTAGTAGGGTTACTCTGACTTCCTGTAAATTTGAGATATCTTGTTGTAAGTCAAGTGTTAATAAAACCCAATTATTAAAAAGAAGTTTGCATCATAGTTATTTGTGGTCCACCATGAGGTCCTATTATTGATATTGGCAAAATTATTAAGTGTAGTAAATGCACAGACTGGAATTCTGCGTTACAGATTAACATAAACTGCCTCGTTGACAGCAAGTGCGACTGGCAAAGTATTACTAGGTTTTTAAAAAATCTCAGTAGTAGCATGGAGTCTCGAATTGTGCCCGATATATGGCGATAGGTTCACCCCCTATTACATGGATTCTTATATTCATAACATAAATAGTGAAAAGTGGGTATTACATAGTACAGTGGCATTCAGTGCCATAATGAGTACCTCTGCCAACCGCTTAGGGGATAAAAGGCGTGATGTTATGTAGAATAACATGAAATAACATTTGTGTAATAACATTGGACATAATAACCACAATGTAATTTTTTTGGCATATGAGGTGAATTTGCAATACAATTGTGATGTTCATGTTTATTACAACCGTAATGTACTTTTGAGTTATTTGTATATCTTCGTTCCGATAGTAAGCTTTATCTCTCAATAAGATCACAATATTAAACAGCAATGCAATGTATTACGATTGATAAGCATTATCTCACTACCACAACTGGCATTAGCAACAGTTGATATAAAGCAAATTAATTTAAGATAAGAAATGTTAACTGTTTTTGCAAACATACATAAAAGTAAACTTCAGGTGTTTTCATTTTGTTTAGTTTTTATTAGCTCAAGCTATGTCACTGCTGACCAAAGGTCTCTATAAAGAACAATTTACATGAAATTACAGTCATATTAGACAATTTGGTAGTTTCCAGGGTATAAAAATTAAAAATCTAATTAGTCCGTCAGTTACATAATGGAAAAATGTTAGATACGTATTTTTTTATTTTCTCGTATTAAGTTGCAGTTGGTCGTTACGTCATAACGTGCTACAAATTGTGACACGCTGTGACGTCACACGATATTTCAAATTAATATACCGTCGAAAGTATTTAATTATGAGAGAAATAAAAAAAAATATGTGTGTAAAGTTTTAAATGAATGTACCAGACATTAAAATAAAATTTAGGAAACTACCCTATTGCTTTGGCATTACTTATAATTAAACTTAGTTAACTCTAAGGGCTCTCTTACTAACATGATGGTTAATTGTTCTATACAATTACATGATGTGACATTACATGATACTCCTAACAACTGTTAAATGTTCATTAAAATAGTAAATAGTAATAATGAATTGGATACTTACAGCCCCTTTCTCCTCTGCAATCTGCCGAGCTCTGATGGCAGCAGCCATGCCAGCCGGTCCTCCACCAATAATGAGGATGTCCGTCTCCTCCGCTACCCGCTCCATACTTATTTCTAGACATTGTATATTTATTAGTCCATTATTCACATGTATAAATTGTATTCATGTGTATAATGGTGCAATACATTTTCATAACTATAAGATTTTTTATCTTGTTATTGGAGTAACTGTAGTGTTATTTTAGTAATTAGGAGAAAGAGTATTTAAACTCCGCTATTCATTAGTCAAATAATTAATTATGTTTGCTAGTTTTGTTTATTTTATGTAAGTCTAATTAGATAGACAAGCAATTATAAAAAAGAACATATTTTAACTCGTCGAGTACCATATGTATAGACACAATTAAAGAACAATAGGTTGCGGTCACCGGTGACCGCTTGGTGTTTGACAGTTTAAGAGTAAAATTAATCAATAATATAAATCATAAATCTGCATAATTATATTAAATAAATCATTAATATTGTTCCTAAGAAAATTATAGAGAATCTACATTTTAAAGTTATGTATAAGATGAATACTAATATAGACTAGTGGAAATTTTACAGGAAGTTGGCATCTCATCAATGTAGTACAAGAAATTATAAATAAACAGGTATGCATAAACCGGTATGCATGGAATAAAACCTCCATACAGAGTGGTTGATTAAAGTTTAAAGAATTATGCTGATTTCAAAATTGATGGATACTAAAGACTAGGTAATGATAACAATACATTATAACTCCATGATCGCATTTGTTTTTTTTCAAGGTTTTTCATACAAATTTCTCTCTTCGTAGGTAGACTAATAAATTAAAATGCTATCAAGGTCTAGTTGTGACGTTATTTTGATAATATATTTGAACTTGAGGTTATCACTTACCTTTCCATCGTGGATCCTTATCTCTTGGGTGAATGGTGTAATGAGTTGTTATCTTTGGGTAAGCATCTGAATACAACCTTTTTGCAGCATTGGTTAGCCTCCCCACTGTAATAAAAATAAATGTTTGTCAGAAAACACCACCAAAACAAACCAGAGTGAACTTTGAACTTTTATATTTAGTCGCTTTATTGCATAACGTTGTGCACCAAGGTCTCATATTTATAATTTCAACTAACTACATCAACTGAAACTAATCAATTTATGTCTTTATCATCACTAATTACTCAAAAATATTAAAAACCAACTCACGAACAGCTGATAGCAACGTCACATGAAACAACTTTTTTACCGTTAACGCAACAACATTTGATAAATTATAAATTCAATCCATATTATTTCAACTCATTTGATACTAAATTAATTGCAAAAATATAAAGGTTTTTATTTAAAAAGTATTTTATTTACCCTGACGAGACGAACTAACAAGTGCCGCCGCCATTTTTAAAAACAATGTGCGCTCCGTTTCATTGATCAAGGTCCACGTTTTATCGTGTGTCTAATTTCAAATGTTCAATAAAAAAATAATTGAAATCAATAAGAAATATTTAATAAATGAAAACAACAGCTCTTATTTATACTAAGAGACACTTTAAAGTTAATAATTATATTTTGTAATTACTTTCTAAAAACAATAAGACGTGCATGTAACAATTTGTGAAACGGAACGGAGAGAAAAATTTGGCGCGACGTTTAAATTCTTTTAACAATAATAGCCTTTCTTTATACTATGTTAATAAGCTCCTTTTTTACAGTTCGCGATAAAAGAATAGTTCCTAACTTTCTATTTGTTACTTTCTAAAACAAGTTCCACAAACAAAGAAATTCTGTGTTAGTGAGAGTAAATATATTTTTTAAATTGGATTTCGTGTAAAATTAGTAAATAGTTTATCTATTCATCATCATTCATCATTCACCAGACTCAAAGATAATTTTAATTTTTATTGTAGATTCTCAGATTCTTATAAACATTCTAACTTAGAAAACTTATCGAAATAATGGTGTATTGATTATTGGTTCATGGCCCTAGGCCCTACATAAGTTATTCTATCTAGATACCAACATAATAACCAAACCAACAGAGAATGAAATAAAGCAATGGAATGCAATAATTTTAAAAGTTGAGAAGTCATCCATCTATTCTACACATAATGTAGATCATAATTACTTTTTATTTTACTCAAAAAAACATGTCATAATCTTATTCTCTAGGGAAAATCAAATTATTTATTAGTTACTTTAGTCTTCCACGTTGATAATAGATGGCGCTACTATTCGACTTTCAATTTATGATGATATGCGATACGCAATTAGTAACTAAAGGTGCAATAAAACAAATAATCCCTCTTAGAAATTAATACCTTTATTGAGAAAGCTTAGTAATAAATAACACGGAGGCATAAACATAGATTCGAATTACTTCACTGGTTTCATTTGCCACAAGCCATCATTGAGATAGTGACAGTTTTCGATGCCCACGCCCTTATTTACTTTGGCTCTGAAAAGAAAATCAAAATAATGGATAAATAAATATGTACCAACCTACAATATTAAGTACAAATTACCACATATACTGGTATAAGATCAGCACATTGTGATGGGCTGACTGTGGTTGGACAGTTAATATGAGAACAGTTAATATGTCTCAGTCTATACTTTTTTAAATCTTAAAGAAACCTTCTTTAGAATTTGGTAGTTTCCAGGGTATCAAAATTAAAAATCTAATTAGTATGTACGTCAGTTAGATAATGAAAAAATATTAGACACGTATAGTTTTATTTTCTCGTATTAAATTGCAATACTTAGATAAAATGGCGCTAAGTTTAGTAGTGGGAGGTCGTTACGTCATAACGTGCTACAAAATGTGGCACGCTGTGACGTCACACGATATTTCAAATTAATATATCGTCGAAAGTATTTCATTTTGTGAGAATAGAAAAAATACGTGTCTAAAGTTTTAAATTAATATACTAGACGGACATTCAAATAAAATTTAGGAAACTACCCTATTCATAGTCTAGACTCTAAATTTTAAGAAACTAAGCTTGTATCACTTGGAAACAATAATCTGCAAAATATGAGTGTGGCACAAAAAAATGGCAATTTATTACATGTCATCAGTAGATAGAGCAGTACACCCGACAGCCAGAGCATGTTCCTTTCCCTCAGCCATCACGGCGACCACTTGTCCCTTGTCCACGCTGCTCATCCGAGCGCCAGGAGACGTCAGGCCAGGGCACATGATGTTGGCGCCACTGAGCACGAAGCGGATGGCACCCTTGTCGACCTGCTGCATCGGCAGGAAGAATGGATCTGCAACATTGATATGTTTTTGTTTCTTAAACTGTCAAACACCGGTGACCGCAACCTATTGTTTTTTAATTGTGTCTATAATGACGGTACTCAAAGGGTTAAGATGAATATTCATGGTTTTTGTTTCTTAAGGTGAATATTCAAACATTCGGTAGAAATTTCATGTTCCAATATACCTATGGACACTATTCTTTAATTCCAGCTAGCTATTTTACTCGTACTGAGTACGAGTTTTTTTTACGTAGTAATTGAAATGAGACCGCGTCCGGCGCTCTGATTGGTTAGTTCATTGGAGTCAGCCAATCAGAGCGCCAATTACTTTAAACGTAAAATTAACTCGTACTAAGTAAGGTGATAAGATTCTCTCCAAGTATCGGTTTGTGAAGACTATAGAATAGTTCATTAGACTTATCTATGGTGGTACTCACATTTATGAAGGAGTTTCAAAGTTGGCATCCATGGTCCCTCCCGCTGACGGAAAAACAGCAACTCTCCAGCGCTGTTCACCATAATCTCGATGTGATCGTGACTGAAATAACAAATATACATAAAATTTAATAAGCTGTTTTTAAAAAACACTAATGTCTGTCTTTGTCTGTAGGTACATGGCGAACGAATTGTTACGTGATTGTCACCAGCTGCTATTCTGTAAGATGTTAATCGAACTCTCGCATTCTCGCCCGTCATTGGTCGAAATTATTCTCACAACCATGTCATTACATGGTGGACCGCAATCGAGTTCACCTCGATCTTTTGAATTAAAGTGACAGAATAGCCTAACAGAAGATGGAATTCTAAAGGATAGTTTTTTTTTTTTAAGGGGAATATCATCGAATGACTGCTCCCGCCTGGGTGAGGCGGAAGGGAGTGTCAGACTCTTACTGACTAAAAACCACCCCGTTCCTTCTCCTGCACGTCGAGCCGGAGCCCCGGTTACCCGTTAGGTTCTCCGCGACTCCGAATCGGCATCGGCTCTATTGGGCCCCATCTGTGGTGGTCTGATGGCTCTTTGAGGCGCGCGCGGAACGCGACGCGCCGTACGCTCGGGTCTGTTTCTGGTCGGACGGGGAGCCACCCATGCTCGCCGTCCGCAGGCCCGCTCTAAAGGATAGTTAAAAAGTGTCGAATACCTTGAAGTTTTAACTAAAACTAATTGAAATGAAAAACTTACCATTTCACAATTCTGAACGTGTCCTTTTTAGGGAGCACTTGATCGATATAGTTGTCCAAGTGTGGGTACAGTTCAAGCAGACGTGCCCTGATGCCTTTCTGGACCGAAGACTTGAGCTGCTGCACGCCCGATATGCTCTCTTTTTCGTCGAACCTGGAAAGATTAGAGAAAAAAAAATTAAAACTAACTTGATAAGTAAAATTACACCTAATCACCTAGACTAAAAGGTGTCGTTTGGACAAACAAGGTCTAATGTCAAGGGCAGACGAAGTAGGTACCTAATAATTGGCACTGAACATAAAAAAATATGTATTTATTCATGACTTTTTATTTTGAATAGGTAAATAATAATAATGTCGCATAAGTTATAAACTCATAAATTATGTGATTCTTAGAACCGTCATAAATATTTACTCTTTTCTGCACACAATACAATGCCAATAGGAATAATTTAGTTTTAGTTCTGCCTAATAAAAATAAATTCATTTAGCGATTCAATAATAACTGAATCAGTTATTTTGATGACTGCAAAGTGTTTTAGCCTTTTTTCATTTAACATAAAGTCTACAATAACAATTTGCTTAAAAAGGCTTTGCTTGTCGTCAAGCAGACAGTAAATTAGCGCAACACGAATTATCCTTGCTTTTTCTCGAGCATACAAATGTTGAAGTTAAAAATATACCTAACATGCATCGGTAAAATTATCCCTAATTATCCCTCAAGGGATATGCAGTACCTAAGTACCTCATTCTTTTAACTCGTCGAGTTCCGTCTTTATAGACACAATTAAAGAACAATAGGTTGCGGTCACCGGTGACCGCTTGGTGTTTGATAGTTTAATGTGTTGTCCTTTGTAATATTGTCTGCTATATGGTGTACAAAAAATGATAAAATAAATAAATTATCCCTTGATAAAGTTTTAGGTAAGCATTTCTTGTAAGTGTTATCAGAAAATGTTCTACTTATAACAACTAAACAAATACATAGGTTCTCTAGTCAAAAGATCGACTAAGCACACAGGGATTACCAAATCTTTTCTCAAACCAATTTCGGTATGTAAACAGAGCACACCCCTTGTTTCATTAATAATTTACTGACCCAAGGAATCTATGTAATCGACCTACAACGTAAATTCAAATAATTGAAACCAAACTACACGTGTTACGGTGTTAAATAAGAGTTACCAATCGCTTTTCGGTTTATGCCGTTAGATCTCGTAAAAAAGCAGTTTCGTCGGCGCGGGGTGTTGCAAATAACGTAGGTACCTACCTATTACTGGGTCGTTGCACTGCCCTAGTTTGGACACCGTAATACCGCTTAGCTTAAACACGTGAGGTTCCTATCACGCTATGTGCACATTTTTGATGAATTCAGGTCATAATATGACTGCTACAAAACGAATTTGAAATTATTGTAAAGTTGCTTAAGATTTTTTCAACATCAAGAACAGAATGCCTAAAAAAACGCATTTATGAACCGATAATTCTAGGCTTAATAACAACTGTTGGTCTGCTTCCTTATCTAAATGATGTGCCTAAACAGTAAAATTAAATAAACATATTAAAAACATAACAAGGCTGAGTTTTATGATTAAACAATTTATTGTTTATAGTTACTAATGCCCGAGAAGATTTAGTTTACATTAGGCAAACTTTTAAAGTAGGTTATCAATATATTTTAGATAAAAGTGACATTGATTTATCTACAAGCAAGTACAAGTATTTTTGTGAATGATGTTACATAATAATGCAGGAAACGGTTCTGCTAAAAATATCCCACTTTTCGGTTACTCGCGTGACCCCGTGGCCTTTTCATGCGCACAGGTAGCATATAGAGATACCTACATGAACTATTCATCTCATATTTTATCTGTCGCAGTATGGATGGAACGGGGTATATTTGAGGCTTAAAAGAGGTGTATACTGTTTGCTTACAAAATCTAACAACGACCTTCTTTTGTGGGGAAATGATAAAGATTTTATCGTGAAAAGACTCTAAATATTACAAAGGTCTGTATCTTGATTATTTATTTACGTAAGAGTTCAAACGTCCTAATCCCTATAGGATCACTTTCATCAGGAAGGGTATAAGGCTTATAAGCCATTATACCTACATCACGTTGCAACATTTTAGAACAAAGTACTTAACTAGTGTGAACACAATTTTCTTTAACTTAAATGTCAGTTTTCTATGGCATCCCATTTTATACTTTTTAGGCAGCAGATAAACAATGCATTCTATATAAAACTTCCCAGAATCCAAATCCCTCTCCCAATCAGTTTCCACCTCCTTTTAACCCACTTTTATTGTATATGTCTGTATTGTGTATGTCCCTCAACTATTTTTACACCACTGTATATATACAATAAAATAGTTGATAATGTCTATGTTTACTAACCCAATTGTTTTGTCATTTCAGCTACTAACAACTAAAAACTACCGCAAAGTTAAGTTCGACGGTTCATTAATTTTGCCGTCACCACTCGACACTGGCAGTATCACAGGGCAGTATAGTCGACAACACAGTTTTGGAGACTCAGTTGCCAAAGAAAAAAAAAAAACAACAATGCATTATAATTAAAAAATACCAAGTGTATTATTTACTTATCCACGCCACATCTAGAATTTTCTGTAATCCATTATGATATTAAATAGCTATTTAAAAATAGCCTTCTATAACAATAGTGATACCTGAATTGAACAATAAAATATTTTACTACAACATTAAACCTAATCTCGTTACCAACTAAATACATTTGTGGAAACTAAATTGCTATTTCGAATAAAGTGCGTTTACCGTTTGCAAAATGTACACTTAAATATTACATATAATATGCATTAATGAGGCAACTAACTGCTAACGCGTACCTGAATAACACTAGATAACAAAATATACATAAAATCGATTTGTAAATTGACACATTTAACTCACCACGAATATAGGGGGCTTTATTTATACATTAGTGGTTGTGTATAGGCTGCATAATTGAGATGATGACAGGGTATGAAAATTAAAAATCTAATTAGTTCGTAAGTTAGGCAATGAAAAAATTTTAGACACGTATTTTTTTTATTTTGTCGTATAATAAAACAATACTTAGATAAAACGAATCAAAGTTTAGGAGTGGGAGATAAAACGTCATTTTTATGTATAAAATGCACATAGAAGTGACGTCACGAGAAACTTTTAATTTCAAATCAATACATCATCGAAAGTATTAGTATCTGTAAGTAAATAAAAAATACGTGGCTATTGATTTAAATTAATCTACAAGACGGACATTAAAATAAAATTAGGCATCTACCGTATTATCACGAATGAGGCCAAATTATGACCAATTTTGTGGCCTAAATGACACTCATGTTTGTCTTTAAGAAAAGGATTATCTAATATTTTTTCAAATTAGAAGACCCGCTTAGTCGTGATCGATTAGTGTGTTCAAATACCCCTCTACCTCTTCGGCTTCGTTTAATTAGTACCTACGGTACCTAGAATAAATTAAAAGGGATTAATAACATCTATTACAATAAATAGTGACCGAAAACAAACTTCAGAGAAAACCTGGTTATCTTCCCGGCGGCGACGGTGGTAATTTTCAACGAGACGAGGTCGTCGGCACATTTATTACTTTGCTCTAATTCACATTGTAAATCGAAAGTAAGATTTCGAAATAAGAAGTGTAATAGACATAATGTTTTTTTTTTAATAAACAAACTACTACTTCTATGAAAATCTTTTTAGACAGTCTTCGCAAAGGCACTTTAAAACGAATAGCCCCATTTCGGTACCGAAGGGCTCCGGAGCAGATCTCTTCAAAGGACCCGGTGCCCCTTACAGTTACAAGTGCTGACCTGACGGTGGCCACCGGGGTGGTTTTAGTGAGGTAAGAATCTCACACCCCCTTGTCTTACTCCCCAAAAAGCTAGGCGCCTTTTGAAGGACTCCCCCGACATCAAAAAAAAGGGCACACAGGTTATTTGCCTTAACATCTGTCTATGATATTACTGCATTAATTTGTCCGACGGCATTATTCCTCAGATTCCTCACAATATCATTGTTTTATAGACACCCATTAGCCGTGCCATTATTAGCTTGTATTAATCCGATTTTATGTTATCATCTAGGTAATTCTAAATTCATCATTAAACTCTTGAAATTTCGGTCATCTATCTGTCTGAACATAACGTGATTATTCTTTGTGTTCATCAAGACTAACTGCATCAAGATTGGAGAGTAGTTATCTGCAGCTGGACAGCTTTCACTGAGGCGTGTAGATGTATGCAAGAATGCTCTTTATGTGTGCAGTGTGTGTGAGGCAGTATCGATGTTGCAGTAATTTCACCTTTCCGCGTAAACTTGTTAAAGCAATGAGTTGGAAATTATCTGGTGTTTAGTAAATGACTACCTTTTTTTTTAACCCCAAGGTGGGAAATCCTCATGGAGCCCCCTCGCCTGGGGAGGACGAAAGGGACTGTCTCTCTTTCTGTCTGTCTGATTCTTACTGACTAAAACCCACCCCGGTGTCCAGTCTCACACGTGGGTACGAGGGTGCCGGAGTCACAATCTTCTGCAGCCTCCGAACTCGTGGCGGCCCTATACATAACTTAACTTGATCTTACTAGGACTAAAAATTAGATGTTATGACTTCTTCCACCCTGGGTGAGGCGAGAGGGAGTGTCAGACTCTTACAGACTAAAAACCTACTCCTGCTTTATGAACCTAAGCCCCGGTAACCCGTTAGGTTGTCCGCAGAAAATAGACTAGATACAGATACACATCTACCTACACGTGTCCGATTACCTTTGATCTGATCTCTTAGACTGATCGTTGTTTAGGTATTAAAATGAAACATAGCTTTTGTTTATGTTAAGTACACAAATTCAAAACAGAATTTATCCAAAACATTCCACCTAACTCAAGACAGAGGTGAATCGTCTGGAATCGGACAAATATTTGTCTCTGAATTCGTAAGTCGAATGGCACCCCGTGACGAGTCTAAGCTAAGGGGTCATCGATCTGTTTTCTTGTTCGTAGTTATAACTTTTGGCCTTAATGTGGTCAAAGTAAGGGCATTTTTGTTATTTGGAATTTCTAAGAATGAATAACAAAGGTCACGTGTTACTTATGTTATGGAAAAAACCAACAATTTCTT